GCAAAGCGAATGCCCCTCTTCATATTTTGAGATCCCATATGGAATACGTCGAAAAGCGGAACTCGTACTGTTTCGACCTAGAGGACAGTTACCGACCACCTGTGGAGCCTTCGTCTCGAGACAATTCGCCTGAAGGTTTGCTTGAGAATCCTGGCAATCCTACCAATATGTGGGGCCCAAAGTCAAGAAAGCGAGATGTGTTCTGTATTTGCAGGCACTCTGAAGCAGGAATGATGATTGAATGCGAAGTCTGTCACGAATGGTAAGTTAACAAACAAGCTTTCGGCTTCTGGTGTAGGTTACTGACTTATATAGGTACCATGGCAAATGTTTGAAGATTGCTCGGGGTAAAGTAAAGGAATTTGACAAGTATACCTGCCCAATATGCGATTGGCGTCAGAAGATTCCGCGCGATGCTGCTCGTCCTAAACTTGAGGATCTGCAAGATTGGCACGCCGAAATCGCAACTTTGCCTTTCCAGCCCGAGGAAGAAGAGGTTCTTGAGAGTATCATTAATCAAGCGACAGCCTTCCGCGATTTCCTGCATGGTTTCACTAATGCTGCCTGCACAACCACCGAGGAAGTGCCTACTTTGATATTCTACCTCCGCAAGATCGAGGGCGCTGAGGTTCTTCTTACCTTCGAGACGAATTTCTTCCGACAGGAGATACACAAGTGGGCGCCCGTCGCACCGGAACCACCTCCAATCTTAGAGCAATCTCTGTCAACACGAAAGCCCCGACCGACGAAGCAACAAAAAATCATGGCTCAGCTTGGGGTGAATCGTCCAGAAGATCTTCCGGAGCATCTACGCCCCAAGCACATTGGCGCAACCAAGCGGAAATCTGTTGATGCTCAACCCCAGCCGGGTTCTGGTCAACCTGCCTCCATGAAACCAGCACCGCCGACTTCTAGTAGTGGACAACCTCCTAGCACAGGTCCAACGTTGGCTCAGATGACAGATCCGAACGCTGCGCCATATCCATTCTCTGCAAACTATTCTTTGCCCGCGAGCGATTCCACACCTGCCTTTGCACCTACTTCATCCTCAGCTTTCCTCCCCCACGCAGCCGCTTCTCAGTCCCCTTCATTCCTACCTCGCTCTCCCCCTCCCCAGCCAGATCTGGAAACCTCCCTTTTCAGCCCTCCACGCTTCGGCCATGATCCCCAGTTCGCGAGCAGCAGCCCTCGTCAGAACCTGGATGATGTATTTGCAGACTTGACCAACCAAGAGATTGACCCTGAAGCTGATAACCAGCCCATGGAGAATACCCACGCTAATGAGGCCTTGGAGGCCCTCGTCGTCAGCAATGGCAGTAGTCGTGCTGCCTCTGTTCAAGATGAATCAGTCCAAAATGGTGATCATGGTGAACCGCAGGATGAGCCCAAACTCGACGGCAGTAATGGGGACCTTGGAGACGAGGAACTTTGACTGAGTCTTGTTTTTTTTTCTCGAGATGAATGTTTTGTTTTTATTGAAAACTTGACCTTTTTCAGTCTTTGTTTACTATTTTCTGATTGTTTTCTTGCCTCACTTTCAGTATTTGTTTACTCGCCTTTCCTATGCTTTTATCGTTCTGTTCGGATCAATTCTCAAAAAAAGGGTGTACAAGAGAATGGACTGGCGAGTCCGGGGGTGTTTTCTAGCGATTCTACGCTTTTCTGTTTTTCCATACCACAAGACTATGTCTGTCATGACTGCTTTTCTTTGCTGCTGCCGACACCATGTAATATTAGTTGAATTCAGCCATTTTTATTCATGTCTCCAACTATAAACATCCCATTGATCTGGTCTATTGGACATCCGCATAAGCTCCTAGAGCAGCCTGTCCACCAGTATGAATGAACAATACATTGACCTGATCCAAGGATTCAGCAGAGTCCGCGACTTCTCCTTCGTTCACCCAATGCATCATGCCTCTCGCAACCTTGGCTGTATAAACCGGATCTAGCACCATACCCTCCGTCCGCGCCATAGTCTCAAGAGCCTCTTTACTCTCGCCATCAAGCACACCGTATGCAGTCCCAACAAACCGATCATCAAGCCGCACATCGTCCACCCCAATATCCCGCTCCCCATCAAGTCCGATCAACTCACCCGCCCTCCGCGCAAAAGTAAGAACCCGCTTTTCATGATATGCCCGTGGTTTAGTCGGCGAATTCAGAATCCCAATAATCTTCCGCTCCCCAATCGTCTTTGACACATCCAACTTCTCCAACAGCTTAAACCCAGCCACCAATCCACCGACCGTACTCCCACTTCCACAAGCAACAAAGATGTAATCAAACCTCCCCGAACCCCCAAGCCCCATCTCCCCCTCCTGTGCAGCAATCTCAAACGCCGCGCGCGCATACCCTAGCCCACCAAGCGCATGCAAGCTCGCGCCACCGGGAATCCAATATGGGTTCTGTCCGGACGCCTTCAATTCATCAAGAAGTGGTGTCGCATCCTCCGCTAGCGGATCACCTTCTTTGCAGACGCGAACCTCCGCACCGAGAAGATGGTTGATTTGCACATTTCCGCTGCGTTGGAAGGCTTCCTTATCACTGGCTGCTGCGAGTCCACCGCCTGTGCCGCGGTGTAGAAGAATTAAAGCTTTTAGCCCAAGTTTCCTTGCGAGAGCAGCGACTTGCACAGTGTGGTTGCTTTGGATTGCGCCCTCGGTTACGAGGGTTGTTGCTGCGCCTTGTAGCGGGCCTGGAGGTGTTGGGTTGTTTTCATGGCTGTGGTACAGGGGTGTTTGAGATAGGATATCTGGGACTATGTATTCTAGTTTGCGATATTTGTTGCCTGCGCAGGCTAGTGGGGAGGAGTGGTCTTCTCGTTTGGCGTAGATGGAGATGAGGGGTCGGTGCGGGGAGACTCTTGGGGGTATAATCGAGTCTAAGGGGTGGATGGGAGAGGGATTGGAGTATAGGATGTTATAGCGGGGGATTTGGGCGAATGTTTCTGGCAGTTGTATCGGAAGAGACATTATTTTATGCATGACTTTTGGTGAGATCAAGTTTGGATGTCGTGATGGCGCATTTATATTGTTTGGCCTCATCTTCAAGGCATCAAAGACACCAATCCATCTAATCTATGATGTGTCAGCAATTGCATGACTAAATTGCATGACGTCGGCCCGAGAGCATATAACTAGAGCTCTTGACTGCGATCAAATCCATTCAGCAAAAATGACTCTCCTCCAATTTTTACGACAAGCCCGCCAGTTGCACCTCCGGTTCCTGTCGGGCGCTCTCTCTGAGCCTCCAATCTATGTAATCGGTAATCCCTCTGCCGATCTTGACTCCATCGTCTCGGCGATTATCTACTCCTACTGCGCGAACAACCGGCTTCCTATCAAAAGCCCACGACCACATATCCCACTCTTAAACCTGCCCAATTTCCCCGCTGGGACAGAGCTGTATCGACTAAGACCGGAATTTTCAGCTGCGCTATGGTCATCAACTAATTGTCCCGCTCTGAAGAGTGAAGAGCAATTCGAGAACACCCTACAGTCTGCAGGGAATTTCCTACGCGAGCATGTCATGACTGTTGCGGACTTTGCGCAGTCTCTTGAAGACAAGCATGTGTGGAAACAGACACTCGCCGATGCAACGCTGGTAGACTGGAACGCGTTCCCGTTCCCCTCGACCGATAAGGGCTCCGGATCCCTAACCGGGTTGCCGAGCGTCTCCTTCCGGACTGTTGGATGTATCGACCACCACGTTGACGAGGACTCCATGCCAAGCATCGACGAATTACCAGAAGGCCAGCCGATGATTATTCAGCCGGGACCTGGGTCATGTGCGTCGCTCATTACGTGCGAATTGCAACAGCGGAAACTCTGGGACGCAACCCCAGAGATGGTGCAGGTTGCGAAGCTTGCTCTTTCCGCGGTGTTGATCGATACCTCGAACCTCACTGCAGAAGGCAAAGTGACCGATGTCGATCGTATGGCTGTTGAATTCCTGAAATCTCAAATCGAGGGGGAAACACAAGCTGCAATGGATGCAAAGGGCGATTGGGATTTGGAGGCGTTCTACAAGAGCATTCTTTATGCTAAGCAGAATAGCCTCGATCTTCTTACTATGGACGAAATATTGGACCGCGATTATAAAGACTGGACTGAGACGTCACAGTCCTCGGGGAAGACCGTGAAAATGGGCTTCTGCTCTGCCGTCAAGCCCATGCGATGGATTGTACAGAAGGCGGGTGGTCCAGAGAAGTTTATGGAAGCTGTGCGCTCGTTCGCGGCTTCTACTAAGAAAAACTTGGATGTGCTTGTTATTATGACGGCGTTTACTGGCACTAACGACAAATTTTGTCGCGAGCTGTTTGTCAGTGTGATGAGTGACAATGAAGCAGCTGACAAGGGTGTCAAGAGATTCGCTGAGCATTCCTCTCACCACCTTGGGCTCATAGAATGGTCCCCGCTGGATGAGGAGGATATCCCTGAGTTGACTGGAGATTGTCTTTCTACATTGAATAAAGACTCACCCCTCTGGAGGAGGCTGTGGGTTCAAACCTATGCGGCTGGGAGTAGGAAACAGGTTGCGCCGTTGTTCCGGGCAGCAGTGGCTAAATTATAGAAGAAATTCATAGAAGATGTCTTAGATATTAAATGTACCTGTTGTTATTTGGCTTATTGGCCGATTCCCTTCACTATATATTATTCGACTGCTACTCATAGCCTTTTGGGCTAGTTTATATGGTGACTCTTGTGGAATTGAGTTTCTCAAATTCCTATTAATTCATACATACTCTTTAACACTGAAATCCAGGTATGTGGAGTAGAACACAAACAAATAGAACGCAGTATATGCAATGCTCCAAGCTAACCTCATGCAAATGCTAGTATGCCAGGAGGACAATATGACAAAAAAAAAGGATATGCAACTCGCAATAAGACAAACCAAAATAAGAAGAAAAAAACACACATAGCCACCTCCTCCCGAATTTGGTGTATCTGAAGGCTTCAAGTTAAAACGCCGATAATAGGTAAAAAAAAAAAAAATCAAACACATTCCCACTCGCAAAATACACACCAGCGCGCAGCTCGGTCAGCTAGCACAAGACCGCGCCACATACCACGCTCACCAATCTTAATAACAGTCTCCCAAACACTACCCTCAGCAACGGCATCAGTGACAGATTCAGTACCGGTATCACTGCCGATCATGTGCTCAGCTTTACGGGTGAGACGAAGAATCTTGCCAGACGGGGACTGGATCGCTAATTTCGCAGCCTTATCCCGTCCAGAAGTAGATCTGCCCGACGAAATGACCGAGGTCGACGCCGAGAACTCATTGGAAGCACCCGATACAGTCGAGCCGCCTGCTGTACTGGACACCATGCTCAATGCACTGGATGGACGAGTGAAGACGGACGAAGGCGAGCCGCGGCCATTAGAGGCCTCGTCCTTGCCTGACCCAGGAGCAGCAGGATGTTGCCGGACAGCGAACACAAATGTATTGTTGACTGCCAGACGAGAGCACTGTGGCTGCATGATGTACAAGTCATGTCGCTGAGCATGGGGTGTAGGATGACGCAGGACAAAGTCGTAAGATGGATTTTCGCCGGTGTGGAGTATTGGTAGGGCCAAGGCTAGGGGATGGGGAATATCTCGACTTGAGTGCATGAGTCCCTTCTTGCCTGCATAAATCTTCAGCACACCTTGGCCTTCGTCGCCTGGCAGGACAGCCTTGATTGTGATGCGTTTTTGGCCGCGGATCCAGTCCGGCTGGACCAAGGCGCGCTTGCGCACAATGTCTCCGCTTTCGAAGCAATCGCCATCTGCGTCGCGGGCGAACCCCGGGGCTTCGACTTCCGCGGCACATTCAACATCCGTAGGGACTAGCATGCGTAGTTGCATGACCTCCAATCCGTCGATACGGAGGAAGCTTGTGTCGTAATCCGGCATCTGGACGTTAAGCTTGAAGTATGGCGGGCACACAGTAGGCAGGGAGAGGAGAACATCTGGCGAAATTGGCGGGCAGATGTGCTGTTCTTCCGGATAGAGCGGGACATGAGTGTAGCAGAGATCAAGCGGGCGCGTAAGGAAGTACCAGCTCTCCGCTACGGAAGAGTTGTTGGAAACGAATTTACTGCGTTGAGGGTTCGTGGGATTTGCAAGTGCGCAATCCATAAAGCGCCATTCACCATCCACGAGAACAGAGTTCCACCAGTGATTGGGACGGGAGAGACTTTCTAGATCGAGCGCATCACCGGGGCTCTTAAGGAAACCTCGGATAATTTCTGTATGCAGGCCAACGGCTGCGCACATCTCGTGTACCAATAGTGCAATTTCCTCTGGGGTACCTCGTTTGGCCTGTAGGAGTCTCTTCATATCAACTTCGAGGCCGTCGACAGGTTCCTCCCACGAGATTTTCTCGCTAACCCAGGTAAAGATGGCCCGAAGACGCTGAACGTCACTCTTGTAGGGTCGGCAGATATAGGCTTGCGCGAGGCTCATGGGGTTCGTCATAGGGGGTAGACTGCTGATGAATCGTGCACTCTTATCAACGAGGTTAAGATTAGCTCCATGGAAGTTCGTTGGCTCGGTGATCGGTTGCCCATCGATGCTCTCATCGCCCTCCGCGGTATCGTACAGTTCTTCCACGGAGTAGATAACAGGGTGATCCATCATTTGACATCGTTCTGCCCTGTCGATCCTCTCGTTTCGACTAGGAGATGACGCCCGGTTAACGTCTCGGCGCACCTGAACCCAGTCAATGGCGCCAGCTCCGAGTCCCATATCACGGCCACTATCACGATTTGAGTGAGATGCAAGAGCCGGTGACACAACGTCTATCCCTCTGATACTCTTGGTTGGAGAACCTGATCTCTCGCCGTGGCCAACCGAAATGCTACTCCTCGCGCTGGCCGCACCAGTCTTGGCTGTTTCAAATATCTTTTTGAAAAACCCTTGCTTTTTGCTCTTTGGCGTAGAGAGGCCACCAAAGACTCCGCTATGATCCGTCGAGTCAAGACCGGTGGACGACCACGGAATAGCTGACGATGCACCCTGGCGAGACGAGTTATGACTTGAGTGATATGAAACACCAGTGAAAGGAGTCTCCGGGCGTACGTCACTAAACCCTCGAGAGCGCACAGTGTCCATAGCAGTATTTGGCCTCTCATGCCCGCCTCGCCTAGCAAAGCTTCCCGCGCTCGTCGCACTAAATCCTCCCGCAGAGAAACCACTCATAACACTTTGACTGGTCTTGTCTGTGCTCGTCGTCATGGATGTGCCATTACTTTGCACCCCACTAGATGAATTGGTGGCACTAGACTTATTGGTAAAAGACCGGTTGAGAATGTCACCCCGGAGATCATGGCCGGAACGCCGGGCCTTGAGGGGCGCATATTGTCCTGGTATGGAGTTATTTCGTGGGTGGTAGGTGGCATGTTTCGGAGGAGGGGGAGGAGGTCCGTTGTCGTCGTCCTGGGCGCTTCTTCGATCCTCAGGCGATCGATTCTGATCTTCCAACTGACGTAGGCGGCTCTCCATTCTTTGGACATAGTTGTTTAGTTGAGGCGGACCATCCATATGGTCATGGCTATAAACGCTGTTGCGGTGGACAAGTCCGCCCTGTGGTTGCTCTTTCTCGCCATCAAAGCCCATTGACGTCAAAGGCCGGCGTCTGTTTCCTTGGGGGGTTCTTTCGTGCGAGGTGTCAAATTCTTCAGGCGACCAGGGATTGTTGAACATTGGAGATGGAGAAGGTGACTGGGCCTCACGAGGTAGACCCATATCTTCCAATGAAGTCATAACATCTTCCATGGCATCTCGCAACGGAGATGGTGTGTTTCCGTGAATATCTGACTGTGCCGAGGTTTCAGAGACAGCGGAGTGCATTGAGGCTGCAGATGGTGATGGGGTACGATCGAATATCGTGTAACGGTCATTCATAACTAATGGCGTGGGGGATCGTGATGGGCGGGGGGAGTGCGAAGGAGGCTGAGGAGAGTGCGCATGATGCTGAGATGAGTGCATTGGTGGCAACGGTGAATGACTTCGTGTTGGAGAATGCATGGGCGGCTGAGGAGAGCGGGATTCCGTACGAGGAATGATGACTCGGTGTGGCGGCGGCGGAGGGGGGGAGGAGAGTCTTCTCGCTCTTCGTACATTTGCACTGGGGATGGTTCACGAGACGGAACACGGTAAGATGACATACTGCCGTGAGAGACTAGCGCAGATGGATGTTCCTGCATTGGTAATGGCGATTGAGCCCGGTAGGAGGACATACTTCCATGTGGCATGTGCGCAGGTGGATGATCCTGCATGTACAATGGAGATGGCCCGCGGGATGGAGCCTGGTACATACTACCGTGTGGAACCATCGCAGAATGGTCCTGCATTGGCAGCGGAGATGGGCCCCCGTGATGGAGCCCGGTAAGATGAAATACGCCCGTGTGGCACCATCGCAGATGAATGATCTTGCATTGGTAATGGCGATGGAGCACGATAAGATGACATACCGCCGTGAGAGACCGTCGCAGATGGATGTTCCTGCATTGGTAGTGGCGATTGAGCCTGGTAGGAGGACATACTACCATGTGGTATGGTTGCAGGTGGATGATCATCCATATACATTGGAGATGGCTCACGCGATGATGCCTGATAGGATGACATGCTCCCTTGGGAGATAGTAGGTGGCGGATATTCTTGCATTTGCAATGGGGAGGGCTCGCGCGAAGAGCCCCGGTAAGATGAAATACTGCCATGTGGCAGAGTCGGGGGCGGGTAATCCTGCATTTGCAACGGAGATGGCTCACGAGACGAAGCCCGATAAGATGACATGCTGCCTTGTGGAACCATGGCAGATGAATGCTCGTGTACTGGCAAGGGGGACGGATTGCGGGACAGAGGACGGGTGGATGAAATGCTCCCCTTCGGCGTCACTGCATATGAACGTTCCTGCGTTTGTAATGGAGATTGCTCACGGGATGAAGGTCGAGAGGATGAGACACTTCCCCTCGGCAGCATCGATGGTGCCCGTTCAGGCTCCGCAGACGAACGAGGAGAGACACCGCGTGAAGAAGACCGCGAGCCAGACGATTGGGGTCGAGATAGTGAGCCTTGGTTCTTGACAGCTGACGCATGCGTGCGCAAAGGCTTCGTACTTCGTGGAATGGCGCCATCCCGAGGTGGTGTTTGGGGAATTGCGGGTGCCGCTGGGTTAGATTGGGTTGCGCGCCGAGCGACGGAAGCTGGTGATACGGCTTCCTTATGCGCCTGGAAGGGTTTCCGCCAGACAGTCTTCTGTTTCTTGGGAGCTGATGTGGGGTTGTTGATCGGAGAAGATCCTGCTAGCACCATTGGACTAGTAGTGTCGCGGCTCACGGGCACGAAGTCTTCACTCAGAAGCTCGACAAAATTGGACGGGAACAGTCCAACTGCGCGCCTGTCACGGCGCAACCGACCCATCCACCATTGTCCATCGCCTGCATTCAAGCATTCAATCAAGTCACCCTCCACAAATCCCAGATCTCGTGTAGTCTCTCCGCCCCAGGAATACACTGCTCGGCACCAGCATGGAAACCGCATTGGCAGCTGAGCCATCGTGGTCACTTGAACACGGTTTCGTCGGGCGCAACACACGGGATCGACTTAATAAGTCGTTTCAAAACCTGGCGCACTTATGAAAAGTCCACATCCAGGTAAAGGTAGGAAAGTGATATATCAATCGACGAGTTTGTGTTGTTGATTCGAACCCAATACAACACAGCTTGGTCAGATGGGTGACAAGGTCCGCACGGCCGCAGGGATAGCAACGATCGCTCAATCAATCAGCATTGTCGAGAGAATAAGGAGGTTTCGATTGGGTGGTTCAAAATAAAAAAGATTGGCGAATGGAGATTCAATTTCACCGAATGGGGCCAACAAAGCTGGTTACGAAGACGTGGGGGAAGGCAGAGCGGTTCAGATCGGTGAGGCCTAAGACGACACTTGGGGCGTAAACTGGGACTGGGGTTGTTTGTTTGTGGCCCAATCAGGACTAGCGGCGGAGGGTCGCCTTATCGATAAGCTTATATCATATTATGTAATATCTCCTGTCCCCCGAGTCTTGAAAGAGACCATGATCGTTCCAAGGTTATTCCTCTTAGCAGTCATGAGCCTATATATTGGGCATGCATATGCATGTCTTGAAATCAAGCCCCGGGGTATCGTAGTAGTCAAATACCGGGCGATGTTTCCACCTTTGTTCCAACTATAGAAAAGCTGGAGCCGACACCGAACCATGGATCGGTGTCGAACAACCCTGGTACTCTCGACAACAGAGGGTCTCTGGCGAACTAGAAATATCTTTATTTTCACTTGCTTGAATTACATTATATTGACGATTAATCTTGAGGGCTGCCCCTTTCAAGAGTGGAATAACTGGGGGCGTTGGATTTAAACCTCTGGGAGAAAGCCTTGAAAAAGTACTAATAACCAACCCCTACCGTTATAGATATCTGCAACTGGTTCTTGTCTGAAAATAAGAAGTCTAATTATACTACTCGGTAGAGATTTTATCTAGTATCTAAGTATAGTATAGAGGTCGATGACTCGCTGAATATGTAGAATTTCGTACAGTGGGTAAAATATATATATATAATGTAGGTAAGCACAGTAGTCCTTAAATATTTCCACAGTTTGCTCTATTTAACATTCTTCATTTCCGCCTTAATATTATACATCCCCTCATATATTATTACCATTGTGGCTTCAGTACATAGTTACATAGCATGTAGATTAATTTGTTCAAAGAAACTTCGCTAAACCCCCTTATAGATATGGTTTTTGTTGACGACCCTAAAGCCCCTGAAACCCGCAGATAACCAGCTAGCATTCCTCACCCACTTATGTGAGTTATCCAGTTAATTAACTTAACTATGTGATTACGAACACCCTAACTTTGCTTGGTATCTGATCCTAAACTTACAGAGCTACCCCCTTCGCGATCCATGCACACTGCCCTTAGCCTCGCTTTCGGCAACCAAATCAAAACAGAACCGTTTTCAAAGCAATATAAGCTACCATATCACAGGTTATATAGAGAAAAGCCTTCTACACAGTTTATGCTATTTCACCGCCTTGACATCTAATATCACTACTAATCAGACTACAAGAAAGGCCGCCAAAAAGACGTGGCAAGGCTGCAAACCCGGCCGACTATCATTGCTATAAATTATTTACACTATACGTTGTACAATTTAAAAATCTGGGAAGTCGGATAGCCAATGCCAAGATTGGAGAATTTTCACATTCTCGGAGTGGCCATGGAATCTTCAGCTACCATAAACAGTTTACTGTTTTCGGATCACCCAACTCAACGACACCCCTTTACGAAGACGTACGGGAGCCAAGGTTCAAAACCCCATTCTAGCGGGATTTTTGCCTGAATCCCTTAATTTAAAACGGCAGAATATTAAAATACCTGAAATGGTCTGATAGGCAAAGGGAGCTATACGAATGTGGTGAGTCTGAATCGGGGTATTTGTCGTGCTTACTCGGAGAGCTTTTGATTGATGCTTTCATTTCCATGAGAACTTGGGGATATATTCGGCCAAGTTGATCTCTGGATTTTTCGTGACTGCGGCTTGAGCCCACCCCGCCGAGACACCGTTAAGACAGGCGAGCTTGCCGTCGCACCGAAATCGCATACGAATCAACCAATATCATGCTCTGGGTGGGTATGATCATCGGTCGGTTTGCCAATACCCACCAGGCACCCCCAGTGCACGTATTGGCTGCTATTGAACTGTGCATGTGGGTCCTTCTACACGAGATGGCCAACCTGGACATGGAGGAGGTTAATGAGAGCGCTTTAGGAGGATAAATCTTTAACCAGCTTGGCCGATTGGCCATGCGAGGAGTCCTCCGTGGATTTGGGATTTGGGGGAGTAACTCAGTTTTCAAAACGAGCAGTGTGCAGGAACCTTCGGACTGAGGTCTCTAAAAGACAATATACATACATATGGTAGCCTACGTAGGTACCTGGTATAAGGTACCCACAATATCCTTCATCCCAGCATACTAGTCTTGCATTAGTAGACTGCTGGAAAAATAACCCTGTACATTAACCCAAGGCAGAGCCTATCGCCCTTCTGTTTTACCCAGCTTCCGGCTTTGACGTTTAGACATAACCTGTGTACTGGTGTTGGTTTTGTACTAATATTCCGCACTTTTTTTTATCCGGCCGTACATAGAAACAGCTACCATAATATCTAGGGTATCATTCAGTTTTGTTCTATTTGTTCTTATCACTGCTTCCTTTCGCAAAATACAGTCTGTTTGCAGTCAGTTATCGCAGGGGCCCGGTCCGTTGCCATAGAATGACCTGGGTCCACTCGATCGATCGATGGCTTGAGAACATTTGGGTCGATCGTCCGATGAACCACGTGTATAATTGATGGCATATTCCATATTCTAACAATTGTGTGATGGCGTTGAATAATTTCATTTGAATATCTTATTGATGGCATTGACGGCACAGAAAGTCACCGGAAGAATGAGAATGAGACCTTCCAGGCTACGACCATCTGAAACGAGACTTGATGTCTCAGAATTTGGAGTTGGAGTCATGACGTACTGGAACCCCTACGATGATGCCTTTAGGCGACTACACTTCCTTACTGACTTGCAAGTCATTTGTAGAAACTGTTCATAATCGGTTTCCTGCATTCTAATAATGTATTCTATGTCTTGACGAGCGTATGTTGTGGAAGGGGAGAATTTTGAACTCAGGAAGCTGTCCCTATGGTTTCTAAAATTAAAGATAAATAAGCCTCTTTAATCTTTAAGCTCTTCTATCGGTGCATTCTTCGAAAATTCCTTGCCAATGTACATAGGGCAAATCACATCACGTGATGATGGAAGCAGCGGCTGTAACCTTCCGAATGCAGCGACTCCATCTCTTTTATTGCAACTTCATTGTAATGTTTCTTCGGAACGAGTCTATTGTCTATGATTTATGCCAGGTTTTTCCGCGGGTAGCTCGGCTCATGTACCTATTTTAAATCTTGATTTCTGGAGTCATTGCTAGTTTTATCCGCAAACAGCACTTTGGCATCCGTGAACTAGCATCGCTTAGACGTTAGCCTTAGTAATTCAAAACCCATGACTCAGGATCCAATCAGGTTATCAAAGGAACCAAGCTTTCAGTTCGGTCCAGCCCAGTTCCACTTACGATCTACTCAGGCAGCCATACCAAGTTCTTCGAGGGATTATTAAACTCGGCAGTAACGGTGCCATTGAACCATTTTAGGAAGTATACTTATCAATACCAGAACTGCGAAAATATACGAATTTTTGTTGAATATTGAGGAACAAGCCGTGGGATCATACGTTTCCCAATGGTTCCAGCTGGGTTACCATACCATAAAATCCTGTTTTACAAGAATGAATCTGGGACCCAAGCCCTTCTGCTTCCTATTTGGTTACTACTAAGACAATTGAAAAAGAATAGTCGTTTGTAATATGCTGCTGACCCACTAAATGGAAAATGCCCCCGTCACACCCTCTATAAAGTATGATATCCGTCGATTTGCGCTTGATCTAAACCTTTCTTCTTTCTCCATACATCAAACTGTGTATTTGCTACAGGGGAGATTATGGAAGGCCCCAGTCATATATATCTCTTCGGAGACCAGACTGCGGATTTCGACTCGGGCCTTCGTCGTCTGCTGCATGCGAAGAATGACTCGCTACTGGCGGCATTCTTCCAAAAGTCTTACTATGCGTTGCGCAAGGAGATTACATCGCTTCCACCATCGGAGCGTCAGCAGTTCCCGCGCTTTACCAGTATCGTTGATCTTCTCGCGAGGTTCAAAGAGTCAGGCCCGAACCCAGCGCTGGAGAGCGCATTGACGACAATTTACCAACTAGGATGTTTCATCCAGTAAGCATATTTCAGCCTTTGATAGAGAGGCTATATTTGGAATCAAACTCGCTAACAACGTCTGCTAGCTATTATGGCGATTTGGGTCATGCCTATCCATCGGGCGATGAGAGCTGCATTATAGGTCTTTGCACAGGTCAGCTCGCATCTGCCGCTGTGAGCTCTTCGAAAACAATTGGAGAGCTCATTGCAGCTGGAATTGAGACCGTTGTTCTTGCTTTGCGGCTCGGAATGTGTGTCTTGAGGGTACAGGAGCTCATCGAACCAAGCAAATCGGCAACGTCAAGCTGGTCTGTACTAATCTCTGGCATCCGCGAGCCCGAGGCTCGGGATTTGATCCAACAGTACGCAAAGAAGAATGTGAGTCTCTTTCTCAAAACCAACTTAGAATAAAAAAGGATTGTTGTTAATATCTTCAAGGCTTTGCCCCGGGTTTCTCAGCCTTATATCAGCGCAGTCAGCCCCAATGGACTCACGATCAGTGGCCCTCCGACTTTCCTGAGCCGTTTCATTGAGGATAGCCTGTCGAAGGAGCACAAGCCCACACGAGTTCCAATTCACGGCCCGTACCATGCCTCGCATCTGTATGATGACAGGGATATTAACCGCATTCTGGAATCTTGGCCTACCGAACAGTTCGTGACCTACGTGCCTCAGATCCCTGTTCTGTCGAGTG